CATCGCACGGAGCCCCGGGATTGCTCAGCCCCGGTTTGCACGGAGCCCCGGGACTGCTCAGCCCCCATCCCAAGGAGCTCCAGGTTTTGCTCCTGCCCTTCCTTCCCCCCCAGACCGGTGCCCCAGCTCCGATCCCAGCCGAGCCGGTTCCCGCAGCCGCCGTGGGGCTCGGCGTGGGGGGTGGCAGTGCCATCCTGCCGAGTTTTGATATCGCAGCAGGAAAAAAGGCACAGAAGCGGCTGGGGGAGGGCGCGGGCAGCGCGGCTGCAGCTCCCGGTTAATCTCGCAGCCGCCTTTTCCTGCGAGCGGAGCTCCGGGGAGCGGGGAGGCGGGTCCAGCCTTCAAAGGACGGCGATGAACTCCGAGGACTGGAACCCGCTGCAGTTCTCCGCCTTCTCTCTGAAACGGGTCTCGCCTGGCTGCGAGGCAAACGTGCACCCTGTGTGGCCCCACAAGTGCCGTGTTTTAATCAGGGCAAGCGCACGAGTGTGTGTGCACTGCTCTCTTTCCTCCTCTTCTGCCCTTCTTTCCTCCTCTTTTGCCCCTTCTTCTCCTCTTCTGTCCCCCTTTCCTCCTCTTTTGCCCCTTTTTCTCCTCTTCTGTCCCTCTTTTCACCTCTTTTGCCCCTCTTTCCTCCTCTTCTCACCTCTTTTGCCCCCCTTTCCTCCTCTTTTGCCCCTTCTTCTCCTCTTCTGTCCCCCTTTCCTCCTCTTTTGCCCCTTTTTCTCCTCTTCTGTCCCCCTTTCCTCCTCTTTTGCCCCTTCTTCTCCTCTTCTGTCCCCCTTTCCTCCTCTTTTGCCCCTTTTTCTCCTCTTCTGTCCCTCTTTTCACCTCTTTTGCCCCTCTTTCCTCCTCTTCTCACCTCTTTTGCCCCCCTTTCCTCCTCTTTTGCCCCTTTTTCTCCTCTTCTGTCCCTCTTTCCTCCTCTTTTGCCCCAGCCCCAGTGGCAGGGAAATGGTTTTGATCTCAGGATTCAGGACGCCGATTTTTGCACGCTCAACCTTAGAGGCGTTTTTCCCTCTCCCGTGCCCTGCACCCAGCCCTGGCCAGGCGAACGGAAAAGCCAGAGCCCTTTCCTAGCGTTTTTTCCCCTCCATTTCCTGCCAGATTAGAATAACAGAGAGCGCAGTTGGTGAGCAATCATCGCGGCCGATTGCAATCAGGTCCCTCCCGTGGAGGGCAGGGGCGGGAGATGGGGGGGACACGGGTGACCCCAGCCCATGGGGATCTGCTCTCACCGGTACACGCCACGGCAGCAAAGACCCAGCACTGGCCGTACTTCACCGGGTGGCACCCGAATTTCTGCCACCTCCTGAGGATGTCCACGCTGCCGATCCAGGCCATGGGGCTCATCCCATCGTCGTACCGGTTGTCCCACCGCCCCGCCAGCACCCCCCGGTCCTCGTCGTTGCAATTCACCTGCGGCACGGCAAGAGGGGCCGCGATGGACGGGTGGGCACCCCCGTGGAGCCACGCTGGGATGCAATGGTGGGAGGGTGGGTGGATGGAGAGGTCGTAATTGGGCTAATGAGCTAATTAGAAATGTGTGCTTCCATCTGGGATCATCACCTGCAGCAGGCAGTGAGGATAGAGGTATGATAGGAGAGTAATGTGATATATATGTGATATATACGTGATATATACGAGAGAAGAGCATATATGATATGTGTGTGATATAAGAGCAATGTGATATATGATATATATATGTGATAGAGGAGCAATGTGACATGTGATATATGATATATATGAGTAATACGATGTGTGATATAAGAGCAATGTGATATATTTGTGGTATATGATATATATATAAGTAATATGTGTGATATAAGAGCAATATGATACATGATATAATAGCAATGTTATATATATGTGATATATATGAGATATATATGAGATAGAAGAGCAATGGCCAGAAGGGTTGTAAAGGGGATGCGAAACACCCCGGTGAAGGTAACTGGTGTGACTGGGGGTGCTGGGGACGCCCTGCGGGGCCCTGGGGCACTCACCATGGCGCTCACCACCCGCCCGATGTAGACGGGGTCGTTGCGGCGCGAGCAGTCCTGGTCCTGGTCCTGCAGGAATTTGGGGTTCATGTCCAGCAGCTGGAGGCAGATGGAGAGGATGTCGTCCTCGAACTGGTGCAGAGAGCGGGAGAGAAGGCGCGTGAGGTGCGAGGGGTGCGGGGGGCTCCCCACCTCATCCCCCCTCCCTGCCCATGGCCCCGTCCCTCGCACCGGGGTCGCATCCTGCGGCGCTGCTGCGCAGGGGTCACACATGGGGAAATCCACCCACTTCCCATTTCCCATCCCCGCTGAGTCACTGCCCTTCCCGAAAGGATCCCACGGACACCCCCGCTCCCACCGCCCACGGCCCAGACGGGACACGGGGCACGGGTGCTGCCTTATCGGCACAGCCGGCACGGTGCTGGGGCACCTTATCGGTGTCTGGCTTCTGGCACAGCGTGGCTGCCCCGATTAGGAGTGCGCAGCCCCGGGGCCCCTGGTAGCGGAGCAGGAGGGGTCCCCTCGGCCGGCCACATTTCCCCATCAGCCCCGTCCCCACATCTTGGCTCATTTGTGCCCCAGCTGCGTGACAGCACATGGGGGTGCACATTTGGGGACACACATGGCACCAAGCCCCCGTGTCCTGCAGCACCAGGGCTGCACCCGGCCAGGGGTCCCCATGGGTCCTGGTGGGGGTCCCGAGGGGCCGTGTCCCGCTCACCTGCCCAAAGTTC